GACCTGAATCCTGTGAGAAAGAAATTCGACTATCGAGAGTTCCTCACACACCCTTCATCGATATTCACCGGAGTGATGGTGATTCTAGCAATCATCTCAGGGCTGATCCTTTACTGCTGGTGTCGGAAACCACGGCCAGCATCCAGGAGGGAAAGGTCAAATTTCGAAATAGCATAAGAATGTATGTATTGAATTGAGAATCTGTAAATTGTTACGTATGACTACGTATCCCTCAATTTTCTAAGTTCCGGGCTCACCCATTCAGGGCACAGCCTTCCCTGAGTTTCTAATCAAAAATCTGAACATTACAATACATTCTTCATATAAATACAATTATCCAGGTCCTAGACTTTAATTTTCGATAAAAGCATTATTTCAAAAGTTATGAACGATTTTTCACTTGCAACCTCTGCGACGATTTTCATGATTGTTCATACCAAAGATAAGGATGATTGAACGGAATTCATAAAAATATGTACACTAAAAGCAAAATGCTCCATATAAACCCTTCTGGAAGGAAAATAAACAAAATATTGAGCAGGCTTAGACACTATGTAAGAAAATATTGATTATTAATGTAAAAACCATAATAATTAAATATCGTATCGATGAGATAGGGTTAGCAGAGAAAATTTCCAAGGGTAGTAATTTTCTTCTCTGGCGGGGAGGGATGTTATGCCCCAAATAATATTATGAAATTCCTCTGCTGATTCGGATAATGTAAAGTGACGAAAGTGGCACGTGTTATCCGAAACAAAACAGTGGAATGAGGTAATATAAAATAACGTCGAATACTCGTGAATTAAACTTCACGTATAAACGACGAATGTGCATAACTGGGGCGCAGCGTCAGCACTTTGCGCCCCGACGCCTGGCCTTCGCGCGCGGTGGGAGACGTCACCCAATGCCTCGCAGGTGTGCGACGAGGACCAATGACCTGATGCAATCGAATTACACGCGTGCATAAAAGACTGGTGAATTCGCTGCCTCGGGGCCAGTTACTCGACGAGTCTTGAATTACCTTTTTATACTTATACTCGCCTGATACCTTCAGTATCCATCCGAGTACTTATTTGTTCAATAAATGGTAAGCTCATCACATAAGTTCAATTTCCAATAAAGATAATTCTTTCTACTGTCTAATCGCGTGTAATCAATCCCTACATCGAACCCAACCGCTCGGGTCCATAACATATTTGGAATTCTGTCCATAACAGTAAGGAATTTTTGTGAAATCCCTTAGTTCACCGCAGAACCTTCAAAATTTCCAGCTATTTGTAAGTACGTAGAGAAGAGACCCAGTTGAGTCATTCAGATATTTTCAATTTCGAGTCAGATTTTTTGTTAGTGTTTTGTTCACTTGGAAAATTCGAGTTTTGATACGTTTTGGAGAGTTAGGTTTTCTTAATTTTTTTTGGTTGCGTTTATCGCCATAAATAACCTCATTTTCGAGTATTATCGGGGATAGGTTTGCGATTTTACGCCTTGAGTTTAGATTTTCGGAATTCGACAAAAGCTAGGGGAAAACGTTCTGATTTTCGTTGCTTAGACCGAAATATTACCGCGCTGTGCGATTATTTCGTCGAATTTTTCCGTTTTGTTAGACTCATCGGGGGAATGCGTAAGTGCAGTTGAAATGCTGCCGGTCATTTAGAAAATTTACGGGGAGCAAAGTAGGTTAGTTTTGGGTTTAGGTGGAAGGTCACGCGTGCAATCACAACTGTTGTTCCGCGTGAATCGCCAAGGTCGATTTAATTGTGAAAATAAGAGAATAATTAGTCGAGTGCACCAGAGTTACACCCTTGAGTTTTGAGTTTTGTTCCTTTTACCCCCGTGATCCCGAGAATGCGTCCCCAATGAGGAAAATATAGTTAAAATCATTCATGTTCAAATGACCTTCAGGTTAGAGTCATGTGGAGGAATTTTGTGGAATTAGTTTGTAAAATTCAAATTGAAATTCGTGCCGATTGTTGCGCAATCCAGACACACGTGGCGCTGAGTCCACGTTTATCTCCGTGCGCCAAGCCGCCATTGAGCGTCATTAGTGATTCTCACTCCATACGCACAACCACGTGTTGTACCTCTTTTAGTAATTCCGTGCCTTTTGGATGTTTTTGTCAGTGTCGTCCAGTTAGAAGTAGGACTAATTTAGTCAGAGAATAGCTGAGCCTTGGGATAGAGCCGTGAGCCGTTTCTGTGGAGAATTAGGAGTGTATTGAGTAGCCGAGAGGCGAGAAGTTGCGCGCATTACCGCTGGTGAGTTTTTCTTATATTTTTGGTGACAGATTTTTAGTATTTCGGGATCGATATTATAGCAAATGCTCGTCTCAGGTCGTTAGTAATTTTGTTGGCTATTTTTCGAGACTATACTCTGTGCGGTAGAGCTTAAATAACGCCTCAATTGTGCATTTTTTGTCTTATGCGTATTAGCGCTTCCCCACGTGGTGGTGGGTTTTTCATCTCTCTCTCTTGCGCTGGTGGTTTGCGAACCTCTCTCTTGCACTCGGGCGAATTTAGGATATCGTGTATATCCCGCACATTTTTGCCTCGAGATTTTCGAAGATAACAGTCGTGAGTTTTGGAATTTTAAGACACTCTTGCGTTTACCGCCGACTCGATCACTTCGAGCTTCCTACCGGTGGGTCTTCGGTCAATGATGTACCGAGTAATCAGGTATTCCATAGTTCTACGGGACTCTCCGCGGAGTACGGACTTTTATTGGGGTTATTTCAATTCTCGGGACTTTATTTTGTGTAATTAGAACTCATTTTTTTTTTCGTTCACCGCCAGCTCGTTCACTTCGAGTTTATGCCTTGTTGGCCTTCCGATTGCACCTCGCAGAAAATTTGCTGATAAATCGGATTTTTTTTTGTATGTTCGTTAATTTTCATGTGCCCTGACGTTTTATTAGGATTTAATTTAGTTACATGCGCAATACGCCCCAGTTAGGGACATTTTTATGCGGTTGTCGCCTCAAGGTCGCGAGTCAGTGGAGTTATGTGCGGCGTCCGGCGCTCTAGCCACCACGTGCTAGCATTATGCTCTCGTTGAGCGAGGCCGCGCTTTCTCGGAATTATGTTGCGTAGAGTTATTATTTTTCTTTTCTTCCGTAACGAGCGTTTGCTTTGCGTTAGGGATTCCGGATTTTCTCTCAATGCTACTGTGTTATACGCTCCATTGTCCGGGGGTTAATTCGTAATTTTTGAGATAATTGTTTTTTTCTTGCTGACTGCAGCCAAATTAGTGAAGTTTAAGATAGATCGATAATCCTCATTTACTCGTATCAAGTCTTTTTTTTGCATTTTTTATTAATATTATTATTTCTTTTTTTTATTATATAATTTTTTTATTTTGGGTCTCTTTGCGTACAACGCCTAACAATTATTGTGATATTATTTCTTTTGTGATAAATATTATTTTAATTTCTGTCTTTCTCACTCTCAGTACAAATCATTTTCCTTTTTGATATTCTTTTGAGATTTGAGGATATCGTTTTTTTTGTAAAATTTAGAGACAATATAACCACCTACATTTCAGCATAAAATTTCAGTTTTCGTGTTTCCGTTTTTGAGAATAACAACCCGATAACCTGTTTCTACCTCAACCTACCCCTCTCTCCACAACCGACCCCCTGAGCAGCGCGAGCATCCTGTCACCTTTCCCTTGGCCCTTTAGATTTGAGTTTTCTTTGGTTTTCGTTGTATTTTTCCACATCGACCTAATTTCGGTGTGTTGTTTCCGACGAGACAAAGAACAACTGGCGCCCACAATCATCGAACTTTCAGTTTTCTGACATTGCCAAGGAAAAAGGGCGAGTTAACGTTCATTTTTATCCCCAGTAAAAATTGACCACGTTACAGTTTTGAGCTAGTGGGAACCGTATTGACGCAGAGGACTATTTCGTTCGTTTCCAGTGGTCGTTCTGGTAAAAATGACACTCAAGTATTATCATTTCAGGGTTGTTTGGGTGTCACAGCTACGTAGTGGACCGGGGTCCATGATACCCCGAAAATTACGTTCCAATATATGTATTAGTTTATATTTAGATTGAGTTATGCTCTCCCTATGTTTATGAATTTCTATTCGAAGTTTTAGTATGAACTCCCTACCAAATTAATACCATGTACTACACTGTGTAGTGGTTGAATAAATAAATAAATTATTTTCGATTTTTTTTTAGGAACAGCTGAACAAAATGTTTACTTGATAGACGTTTTGAAGAAAATATCTGTTCTTTTTTTCGGAAGATATTCCTAAATTTGTCGGAATAATTACGAAATTACTTTAAAGTCCTTAGCATGTGATCGTAAGCTAATTTGAAGCATTTTTTCCCACCAAATTGATAATATTCTCTGATATCACTGTAAAAAAGTACATATTTTCTTTCCAATTTTAGCTATCTACGGACAGTCAATTCTCGATCACACCGTTTTCGACGAATAACATTTCTCGGATACCAAAAATGAAGTATAACTTCATAAACTATGTTTATTCCCCATGACTAGATATCTACATCTATCATGAAAAAATTGAAATTTTCAGTGAAAGGAAAAAATAAAACACAGCGTTGATTTTTGTTTCACCCTAATAAGCGATTTCAAATGAGGAAAAGATATTTTCCATGGTTTTCTCTAACAACATCACAACCCATATTTGAATGCACTGGTGGCAATACCCTGACGTCAAATGTGAGGAACGTGGAAACTTTTCTTGGCCGATGCGCCATACACAGCATGTATCGATATTATTTCAAGAACGTAAAAATAGTAGAATTACGGAATAAAAAGAAATGAAATTAGAAAAATAATTAGCGAAAATCATCCTTAAGAAGCATGGAAAACGATGAGGATTAATTTCTATGATTATAAACGATAATTGATTTTATTTCGAAAGGCGACAATATTTACCTTTCTAGTTAATACTAATTTTTGAGAAAAACGTCATCTGATTTCAATTTAAATTATTAAAAAAAATGTTTTATCATGATTTTAGAAGCTCGAGAAATGACAGACGCAATCTCTCAATTGATAAATGTCCATTCATCGATTTGCGACACCAACCTACTGCTGAACAAGGCATTCGGTTTACCGATCCTCGTAGTAACAATTACCTGTCTTCTCCACTTGATTATCACTCCTTACTTCTTGATGATGGAGGCAAACAGCGATAAAGAGTCATTATTCATCGCCGTACAATTCGCCTGGTGTGCATTCCACGTGTTTAGGATGTTGATAGTAGTTCAGCCCTGTTATGCAACGACCACAGAATCCAAGAAAACAGCGGTATTAGTCAGTCAATTACTTACTTATCAGTGGGAGCCGTACGTGAGGAAACAACTTGAACTGTTCTCACTCCAGCTTCTGCACAGACCTTTGGACTTCACTGCTTGTGGACTTTTTTCTTTAGATCGAGCTCTAATCACTTCGGTACGTCTAAGAGCAGTATATTTCCAACCTAAGGAGGTAAAATAAAAGATCATTAGCCGTGTGCGGAATCACCAGCCGAGCTGAAAGAAAGGTTGATAAGTCCGCGGCTGAATCATTTATTTCAATTTCCGTGTGTGGCAGGCAGTTTTCGGATGTCTTGTCATGAATACTAAATGTGGCATCGAACACTGCGCCGGCCATGCTGGGAGTCATTTATATTATGTTTCACACACTCGTACAGAAGAAATTTGTACTATGCTCGATGATGAGCGAGACAAAAATAAGCACCCGCCGTCCTCGCGTAAAACATCGTTCTCTCAAGCGGAAAGTACGTATTACTCATCGCCTGACGGCGAAAAGTCAGTCTTATCCCTCCCACCATTTGAAGGGCTAAGTACAAAATTTTCATTGCAGCGTGTTGAAATAGTATATATTACCATAACCAAAATCAGTGTCGGTCGCTCGCTTCGCTCGCCCCGGTGTCACCCGTAGAAATTGATGGAAGTAGGTATGCCAAGCGGGTTCCCGACCAAGCCCCCAGCGCTCATCGCTAGGTGGCGCCACAGTCGCAGGACGTTCAAGACGGATGACGTCACCACTCAGGATGATGACTCATTGATTCGCGTGATGGGACGTATCGTCTAATTCCTATTAGGACGTGCATGAAAGATGATATGTTGATGCTGATCGGTCGAAACTTGCATGAAATCGGTTATTATAGTGAGACATTGGTGTCTTGGAAGAGAAATGACGTCATACTTGTTCGAGAATATTCTCAAATATTCAAAAATTTTCCGCGAAGGTGGCGCCACAGTCGCGCAATGTTTAAGATAGATGGCGTCATCGGTGAATCACTCGGGATGATAACTCATCGATTCACGCGCGGTGGGGGTGTAGCGGATAAGCTAGTTATCACTACAAAATAATATTACTGTCGGTTGAGAAGTTAAAAGAGGCTTGAGCGGGTATTTAAATACATGTTTATTCAACAAGTTGTACAGGTATACTGAAGCTTACGGGAACCTCAAATTCCCGAAATATTGGGTTGGGGAAAAAGTAATTTCGGTTTTTTCGTGTTTTTCAAAGTGAATTTGTTAATATAAATTTTAAACACTAATCAATGATATATATGCCGTTCTGATCGATGACCTTTTGCCACTTTTCTGGTAAAACCATAATTTCGTAACTGTAGAACTTCTGAAGTTTTTGGGGGAAAAACTGAACCAAGTGATTTTCACAAGCCTCTTTTGAACCCAGCTTTACACCATTAAGAGAGTTTTGCAGAGACCGGAACAAATGATAGTCCGACGGGACAAGATCAGGGCTATACGGTGGATCCATTAAAACTTCCCAGCCAAACCCTCTCAGTTTTTGACGAGTCACTAAAGATGTGTGCGGTCTAGCATTGTCGTGATGGAAGACGACGCCTTTCCTATTGATCAATTCTGGCCGTTTTTTTTCAATCGCCTGCTTCAGTCGCATTAGTTGTTGACAGTAGACAGTGGAATTAATGGTTTGGCCAGGTTCGAGCAGCTCATGATGAACAATATCCTTCCAATTCCACCAAACACTCAGCATCACCTTCCTTGGCGTCAATACGGGCTTCGCAACTGTTTGTAAAGCTTCTCCGGGCTTTAACCACGATCTCTTTCGCACATGATTGTCGTACGCGATCCACTTTTCATCGCCCGTAATCATTTGTTTAAAAAATGGCTCGATTTCGTTCCGTTTCAACAGGGATTCACAAATGGAAACTCGGTCCATTAAATTTTTCGACGTTAATTCATATGGAACCCAAGTATTGAGCTTCTTTTGGTATCCAGTCATATGTAAATGGTTCAAAACTGTTTTATGGTCGACGTTTATTTTCGTAGTAATATCGCGAGATGAAATATGTCGGTATACCTCGATTTCATTAAGAATTTCATCGACTTTTTCAACGGTTGGCCAACCAGGGCGAGGTTCATCTTTAAGATCGAAGTTTCCGGAACGAAATCGAGCAAACCAATTCCGACACTGGCGTTCACTTAAGCACTCATTACCATAAACACTACGGAATTTTCGATGAACCTGCGCTGCAGTTTTTCCTTTTCGGAAGTACAAAAGCAAAATGTGACGAAAGTGGCCTTCTGGAATCTCCATTGTCAAAGCCTAATAATTTTTGAATGAGTAAACGAATGACGCTACTTTGTACTCCAGGATGTACTATGGACTGTAAATTTCTAAACATGCTATAGTATGGCGTCATCGAATAAGCATTACTAGAGATATACAACTTTAATGCCATCTATTAGGAAGAACCGAAATTACATTTTCCCCAACCCAATCTATAAGAAAATATGCTGAAAGAGAATATTTGATAATCCTCTGTAGGTGTCCAGGTAGGTAGAGGGGGAACATGACGTCGGCTCGCCAATGCGCAATGTATCTGCGTGAAAGAGAACGCCGGCTAGTAGACCGCTCAACATACCCCCCCCCTCTTGGATCAGTGGCCATACTTGGATACTAAAACAAAATACAAAACAAAAAAAAAGGAGAAAAAAAAACTTAAATAACAAAAAAAACAGAGGAAAAGAGAAAAAAACTATTGTGAGGCAAAAAAACAAATGGCTGGGCATTTAAATGTTGCGCTCGCTTTACATGTCTCGCTAGTTGAGTTGTCATCTTCCTTGTCTATTCGGCAAGTTGAACGAGACTTTCTTGCTAGGTTTTTGGGAGTTCGATGAGCTTGCCGAAGTTGACGGAGCTGATGCAGCTGAAGCACTGGTCGAAGGCTGAGGCTGCTGTTGAGGGCGCTGCTGCTGGGGTTGGCCATCTGGAGAAGGGCCCAGTATCTGATCCAGGTCTTCAGGAACCATATAAGCTGGTTTCAGGCGATCGATGGAAATGGAAGCGCTCTCGTAGTTTCGGTAACCAGTCTCGGAACGAAAGAAGACATTAAAATACTTTTCATGCCTGCTGACGATTCGGAAAGGATCAGAGTAAGGCGATCCGTAAGCTTTACGGGCTTGGTCATTCCGAACGAAGACACGAGAGCATGTTGCCAAGTCTTTGAAAAAGAATGTTGGCTTCGTTCCATGGTGTGATGTCGGCACTGGCGCGAGACTACGAAGGCGATCCCGCAGCTTCTTAACCAGGGCTGGTGCAGGAGAATTAACGACAGTAGGAGCCAGAAATTTGCCAAGGAGAGGAAGAGGCTCGCCGTATGTCAGTTCCGCTAGTGTTGCCTGTAGGTTCTCCTTCCAGGCGGAGCGAAGCCCAAGAAGAATGACGGGAATAGCGTCGAACCACTCGTCACCGTGGCAATGCACGGCTGCCTTCAGTTGTCCATGGAGGCGCTCCACCAGGCCGTTCGATTGAGGATAGTAGGGTGTCGTCATCAGCCGGCGGTTGCCCAAGAGTTAAGAGAGCTTCTGGAAGGTATCTGAGAAGAACTGACCCCGCGATCAGTGGTTATTCTCAGAGGCACTCCGAACCTCGAAACCCAATGGTAGAGAAGGGCGTGAGCAACGATGTGTAGGCTGGAATCTACCAAAGGCACTGCTTCTGGATACCGGGTGAAGCGATCAACGATCGTCTGGCACCAACGATACCCTCTCGATAGAGGAAGAGAGATGAAGTCGACATGAATGTGCTCAAACCGCTGAGAAAAGTGTTGAATGTCTCCCAGTGGTATTGAGCAATATCAAGAAACCTTGGCACGTTGACACTCAAGGCAGTGCTTGGTCCACTCAGCACAGTCTTTCTGCATCGAGGGCCAAACGTATCGATCCGAGAGAATCCTCCGTGATCCCCTGATTCCTGGATGATGAAGAGAATGCAGGGACTTGAAGACCTGCTTCCTCAGGTTCTCAGGAACCTAAAGGCGCACTGCTTTTGGTGACATGTCACAGAACAGTGGCGCGATGAAGTGCCGCACTGCTTTCGGTGACATGTCACAGAACAGTGCCGCAAGAAGATGTTGCAGTTCTTCATCATCCTGCTGAGCGGTTGTTACTTGCCGTTGTTCGGCAGTAACAACCGTCGAGAAAACTTCAACACGTGAAAGGGTGCCAGCAACAATATTCTCGGTTCCAGCAACGTGACGGATATCCGTGGTAAACAGGCCGATGAAATCTAACTTTCTGAACTTCCAAGGTATCGCACGATCAGGGTTCTGCTTGAAGGCGTGTGTAAGAGGCTGGTGGTTAGTAAAGATGATCACGTGCCGACCTTCGAAGTTGTACCTGAAGTGCTTGACTACCTCGTACACAGCATGCAATTGCCTATCGTAGGTCGAGTGCTTGCGTGTCGATAAAGATAATTTTCAGCTGAAAAAGGCTAGAGCTTGCCAGGCTCCTTGATGGCGTTGGTGAAGGACAGCTACAATGGCGTGATCGGACGCGTCTGAAAATATAGCCCATTCTGCTCTGATGTCTGGGTGTGATAGCAGCGTAGCTTCTGCTAACGCTTGCTTGGCCTTGGTGAATGACTTTTCACAGTCACCAGTCCACTGCACAGGGGGCCAGTTCTTCAGCTCTGGACCTTGGAGACAACGAGTGAGAGGAGAGAGAATGTTGGCTGTGCCCTTGACATATCGACGATAAAAATTAAAGTTGCCAAGAAATTGCTTGAGAGCCTTCACAGTTGCCGGTCGAGGAAACTCGAGGATGTCATTCACGTCTTCCTGAGGAGGTCTGATGCCCTGAGCGCTGATTCGATGCCCGAGGAAAGTGACTTCTGCCTGCCCAAACCTTGACTAGGTGACGTTCACATTGAGGCCGAATTCTCGTAGCTTACTGAAGAGTACTCGGACATGCTCGCGATGTTCAGCAGCGTTCTTGGAGAATACCAGGATGTCATCGATGTAGGCGACCGCGAAAGGCAAATCACGAGTAACCTTATCAATACAGTGCTGGAACCTTTGAGCGCCAATCCGGAAGCCGAAAGTTATGAATGGGAATTCGAAAAGACCATAGGGTGTTATGATGGCCGTCTTCTAGATGTCCTCAGGAGCCACGGGTACCTGATTAAAGGCGTTGATCAGGCCAACAGCCGATAAGATTGTGGTACCGTGCAAATTCGCTGAAAAGTCCTCAAGGTAAAGTATAGAATACTTATCAGGAATTGTTCTCGCGTTAAGCGGACGATAGTCACCACAGGGCCGCCATTCTCCATTCTTCTTGGGACCCAAATGAAGAGGACTCGACCAAGGGCTATCTAAAGGACGAGCAGTACCCAATTGAATCATTCTGTAGAACTCAGCCTGGGTGATCTTCATCTTGTCCTGAAGAAGACGACGAGCTCGACAGGAGACAGGTAAAACTGGGGTTATCTTGATATGATGCAGAGTGTGATGCAAAGTGGCCTTGATTCTTCCATCAAGTCGAGTGATATCCGGGAAATCTCTGAGAAGCTCAGTCCATTCCGAGATATCAGATGACTGGAGTGACGTGATGGAGAAGCAGGAGATAACCTTCATCGTATCTTTAACTTTGAGACCGGTCGTTTGATCAATAAGGCAATGCTTCGACAGATCTGGTACCAGGTGGAAATAGTACAGAAAATCAGCACCGATGATCGGGTGAGAGACGTTGGCTTCGATGAATTGTCAGGTGAAATCTCTTCAGAGCCCTGAATCAGGCCATGACAGCGAATCCGTAGGTGTCGATTGGTGACCCATTCGCTGCAAATAGCTAATACCCTGAACACTCGGGTGGTTTGTTGAGCCATCTGGCTGAAAAGACCGATGAATCCGAGCCTGTGTCGATCAGGTACTCAATGCCTCAGTGAGAATCCCTGACGAAGAGACGCCGAGACTGCAGGTGAGAGTCAACTTCTGCCGCTAGTGACTCTCCCTGGAGATTACATGAAACTTACATCCAGGGGTGCAGTTCTTCGCATTCTGAACAAATTTCTTGTGATACCAGCACGTATCGGTGCTGGCAGAAAGCTTGTGTGAAGAGCTTCGAGAATGAGCCCTGAACCCTCTTGGTTTAGACCTCAACCTTGACCTGGACCTTTTCAAGTTGTTGTATGACGACTGCAGAGCCGCGATCTGCCTGGTGAGTTCAGCGATCTGTCGATTCTCCGTCAAGTCCGCAGTGTGTGAAGAGACTGCAGCGACAGTGGCCTTAACAGAATTGAAAATTTTGAAAAGCCTGTCCGCTCGAATGGGTAGCTTGTCTACCTCGTCATCTTGCGCTTTCTGCGCCAAAAAAGCTTCCATTTTATCAGGAAGATGCGAGAGCCACTTTGACCTGATGATATCATCACCCACTTCGCTGACCAGACTACGGAAATACAAAGATGCGCTGAAGAAATGCGGTTGCCGAGGGACTCTTGATCGAGCAGCTGGCGCATGCGGGCGTCTTTGGTTCGCGTGAACCGTGAGATTAGCGCATTCTTTCACTTCTGGTATGAATGGGTGTCAATGGGTGGCAATACACAGACGTACTCTACCGCTCTGCAAATATCGGCACTCACAAGGAACACTACGTAGGTGTCCCCCTCCGATATCGATGAAACTTAAATATGTTATAGGGGACCCAAAACTAAGGGACACGTATTTTTTTTATGCCCATATTGGGTTTTAGGGGGTGAAAGTGCTCTCTGAAGTTGACCCCCTCTCGGGGTCATTTTTCGATTGCACACATAAGAAAGCTTTTTGAACAACTCTTTCGTAGTGTATCATGAAGGTCACAAGGAATGATGAAAATGCGAATTAGAACCGTCTCCGGGGGGTGAAATATGGAGAGTAAACTACCCTTGTGAAAATTCATTTTTCTCTTAGAAAAAAAACTTTTGATGGAAATCCCATGGGACAAATTCCACTTGAAAAAGCAGAAAAAAATACAGAATACTTGTTTTGATTTTTTTTAATCGAAGTTAAAAACTTAAAAAAATAGATCCTTCGGCAAGGGAAGGCTTCAATCCATCACCAATGGACTGATTGGCCTTTTAGCCCTCTCTTCCTCCGAGCGCGCCCCCTTTTTTTCTGGTTTCCATTTCGAGACTTTTTCAGTCTCGGATTCTCCACCACTACTTTAAGAGGTCGTCACTTTTCCAGTACGACTGTTCTGCGTTTTCTTCTTGGCTCCCTTTTCGGGATCGATTTCTTAACCTAGCGACCGGGGTATCAGGGGTTTTCTCCTCCCCTCCCCCTTCTATTTACTTTGTCAGCAAATCCTTCTTTGGTGTCATTTCTAGCCCAGGGAGTCTTTCGCGAGTTCAGGAGGCTTATTCAACCTCTGCCTTCACGACAGACAAGAGTTTTCTAGGAGCTCTGCAGCTTTTTTTATACCCTACAGTCAAGAGGTGGGGGGTCTTCCCTACTCTTGCTGCCTCTTTGAGTATGTGGCGCCCCCTTTTTTGGGTCGGCGGCTACTCTGGAGGCTCTTAAGGAATTTCACTTGTGCAGTAGAAGCCTCTATCAATCCTCAGGATCATCTAGTGAGTATTTTCGAATGAAAACTCACTAGTTCTGGGCGATTATGCATATTGCCCTGTCATTTCCCGTCATTTCGGACGTTTTAGGATATTTTCTGAGGTATTCCATGGCTTTTCAGTCATTTTTCCCTCTTTTCGTGCTCTTTTATTGAGCTTACATTCTTTTCTATTTGAAAACCTTCAATTTCCCGGATTTGGCGGTACTTTTGAATGCTTTTCAATAAAAAATATCCGTGTCCGACATTTTCAGTAGTATTTTTACAGAGGTGGCGCCATCTAACGACATTTTCCACCAGTCGCTAATTTTCTTATCTGTCGGTAAAGAAAATTTCTGCTTTACCGACAGATGTCCAATTGTGGTGGTTTACCGACAGTGGTTACTTTATCGAGGAGGCGCTAGATGGCGCCTACTATCCGATTTTCATGCAAGTCTGGATATTTATTCTTGTTTTGGGGCTGTCGCCCCTTTCGTTCGTCAGTTGTGCACTCTCGTGGGCTCACCGAAGTATCTTTATCCTGGTCATATTTCAAACCGAGAATTTTTCTTACACTTTTGGGAAACAAAATTTCCCAAAAAATCACCCGTGGGGTTTTTCACCCCACTTGCCTAGGGGCATTCCACTATGACTTCTTCCTCTGCTTTTCCCCGAGCTTCGGAGGGGATTGCACCCTCCTTGTTTGCCTCCTGGAGTGCGAGCTTCGCAGCTCGCTCCAAGGTTATTCTCTCCTTCCTCCTAAGTTTGCTCGGCCTGACCCTCCACTCCCGGGTTGGCCCTGCGAAATGTCTTTTAATCCCCTCTACTGGAGTTGGGAGTCTTCCTTCCTGCACCACATAACTGGGGCCTTCATTACGTCTCGGCTGGGGGCATTTTTCGGCCCTCCTCCTGGGTGTGCTGAGGGCGTTTCCTTCAGTGGGCGGTGCGACACTCTCTGCCGCCTCGGCCCTCCTTTG